TACTTCCTTTACTCTAATATCTACACCTAGTTCAACCTTAGACCACTTGATGAAAAATAAACTCACATAAATTAAATTAGTTCTTTGGGAGCTGAACAGAGCTAATTAAATCAGCCAGAATTGCCAACTATATCCCTAAAATGGTAAGAGGCAATTGCCTAGGGTGATGGCTAAGATTAAGAGTTTGAAAGCCAGATTCAGAGTCTCAGACTTGAGGGCAAAACTCACACATAAATTCTGTGTGCCTGACCTTGGGCAGGTTACTAAATCTCTTTACCCTGTATCTTTATCTGCAAAAAGGAGATAATGAATTTTGTGAGAATGAGCTAACATGAAAAATGCTTACTGAGTCTGACACTCAATAAGGTTTCAGTTAAAGTTAATGAAAAAAAGTGAAAAAGTTACCTTGCATTTTCCATTGCATTAGTGGATGAAACTAGCTTTTCCTCCAATTCTGTGACTTTCTTTTTTAGTTTTGCCTCTCTATCTTCAGCAGCCAAAGCCTCACGGGTATAAGAACCTTCTGATTCTAAAAGATGATTACGCAATCTCTCTAGCTCCTGGTTTAACCGTAATTCTTTGTTACATAAATGTTGAACCTAGGTAGAGGACATTTCTTTATTTTTCTTCTAGAAAATGATCCTTTTCACCCTGCTACAAACCACTATATTATCAAATCTTTTTCCCATTGTTGAAATGTATTAATTGTATACTAATTGCTCATACTGCAAGATATATTTATTCTAGGAAAAATTCTCCTGAAATCATCTTATATATGCAAGATATATTTATTCTAGGAAAAATTCTCCTGAAATCATCTTGAATATTCATCTAGAAGCTTTACTTTGTACGATCTCATTCCCTGGAAAATGGAACTATACAAAAGTACTGGGTTCTTTGTGACAGACCACTTTTTCAGTGTATCTCATTTTTTCATATTTTATGGGTTAAAATTTTTTCTTATATCCAAGATATGCCATGGTTTTCATTTTTGAAACCTAAAATATAAAGCACCCTGGGAGATAAAAGTCCTACTAGAGCATATCAGAGAAAGACTAAGAAAAGTCACCTAGGAAATAAATTCATTTCAATTAAAAACTTTCCAGTTTTCTTACTTAATAGTTATTAAACTTAATATTTGATTCACTGTTTCTTTAAAGTGAAAGTATACCTCATTCTGTAGGGTATTGTTTTCCATTTGTTTCTCATTCAGAGACAATGTGACTTGGTCTCTCTCCTGTTGAAGTGTGACTGTCTTCTCCTGCATTGACTTAACTGCATTTAAAAGCTGATTTAACTTTTGCCCTTTAGAAAGTCTTGCCCTTTAGAAAGTAATAACTTTAGTTTTAAAGAAAAATACACTTTAAAAAAGACATTTTCTTCATTAAGTAATTAATTTTAAAATGTAGTTAACTATGTCAAGGTCATCAAAAACAAGGAAAGTCTGAGAACCTGTCACAGTCTATAGAAGCCTAAGGAGACATGACCTCTAAAGATAATGTGGTATCCTGGATGGCATCCAGGCACAGGAAAAGGACAATTGGTAAAAATTAAGGAATTTGAATAAAGTTTAAATGTTAGTAGTAATGCCTCAATATTGGTTCATTAGCTGTGACAAATGAATTACAGTAAAGTAAGATGTCAACAATAAATAAAATAGGGTGTGAGGTACAGAACTCTCTCCACTACCTTTGCAACTTTTCTATAAATCTATTATAAAAGAAAAAGTTTACTAGAAATGTTTCAAAAGGAACTCAAAAGACAAAAATCTCTTCAAATTTGCCCATACAACAAAGTGTTCATGAGCCTCCAAATTACCAATAAAATGTATGTGTGGGGTGTGTATGTGTGTGCACGCACACAGGTGCGTATGCACACAAGGATGTCCATTCATCAAGCACCCACAACTGTTGTTCAAGAAAAGTAAGTGTCAGCAGCTAGAAAAAGATAAAAAGGAAATCATTTCATATGTACAGTCTATTTTAAAAGAATATTTTGGCAACAGCTTAATGAAAGCAACTTTGGAATGATATCTTGCTAGACAATAATGAAAATGTATTCCACATAAGTACAATATATTAACGACAGCAGAAAAAAGATAACCCTTCATTGCAAAAGTAGAGTCATGAATGTCAAATGATACCTAGAATTCTAACAAACACAGAAAAGTGTCAGGCTGTTTACAGCCAAGTCTTTTCTCTGTTTTAAATATGCATATCAAATGAATCTACTTATAGTTTAGCATTATATTAAGTTGTTATGTAAACTTTTCATTTCTTTAGGAATATATAATGTTTCCCCCAGGATAAATCATCAAAACGAAAACATAAAACCATCTGTTCCTTTTACTTCAACATCCCCTCCTAAGTAGGATGGCCAATATTTTCCAAATAGTTTTTCAGTTAGTTTTCTTTTTCATATTACAGAGAAAGAGCAAATGCTTGAGAAATTAAATAGACTTGAAGATCTCCTGCTGAGAACATCCCCTTCTCCCCACCAAAATATAAAATTTATTATACTCAAAATGTACTATTAAAGGTACTCAAATTATATGAGTGTACTTGAAAAATTTTGTGTCAAAACAGAATTAGGGCTGGCCCGGTGGCGCACTGGATCGTGTGCCACTTGGGAGTGCGGTGGTGCTCCCGCCAAGGGTTTGGATCCCATGTGGTGACCGGTTCCCGCTCACTGGCTGAGCACGTTGTGGGCGCAACACTGAGGGTTGTGATCCTGTTGCCAGTCCCCAGTACGGGCGCGACACTGAGGGTTGCGATCCCGTTACCGGTCAGTAAAAAAGACAAAAAGGAAAAAAAAATCCAAGTTCCAGCTATTTTGGGCTGGCCCAGTGGCGCACTGGAGAGTGCGCCGCTTGATAGCGCAGCGGCGCTCCCGCCAAGGGTTTGGATCCCATGTGGAGACTGGTTCCCGCTCACTGGCTGAGCGTGGTGCGGGTGCGACACCGAGGGTTGCAATCCCGTTACTGGTCAGTAAAAAAGAGACCAAAAGGAAAACAAACAAACAAAAAACAGAATTAAAAGAAAATATTAATCTTTCCATGAACTTTTGGAACACCCCTTGCATAGAATATTGGAATAAATTAATTAGTTTATATGAATTACCCTCAAGTAATACAAGACTTTAGTAATACTTGACTTAGGGAAGCTTCCTAAAAGGTAGGAGAGCCTGAATAAAATCTGCACACTTTAGATGTGTAAATGTCAATGAAATAGAACTAAATTGTACAAGATGCAAAACTGCAAAAGAAAAAAAAATTTACAACAGAAGACTTGTTCTATATTCCTTCTGTTGTAGTCTTAGAACCATAACACACTGCACCTAAATTTGGTTAGTGAGTAATAGGAAGCTGGACCCTCTAAGAGTCTTTTTCACACCAATTACAGACCAGTACCACTAAAGCTAAAAAGTTATTTCTGAAGGACGAGAACACCTCAACATTGACCATGAGTGTACCTATTTAATCAGATATATGGCCAAAAAGAAGAAATGAAGTAAGTTTTCACAACTTTAATCCAAGACTCTAAGAGAGAACTTAATTGACAAAAGAAGTTTATCTTGGGGCCGGCCTGGTGGTGCACTGGAGAGTGCGCCGCTTGGGAGTGTGGCGGTGCTCCCGCCGAGGGTTCGGATCCCATGTGGAGACCGGTTCCCACTCAATGGCTGAGCGCGGTGTGGGCGCAACACTGAGGGTTGCGATCCCGTTGCCGGTCAGTAAAAAAGACAAAAAAAAAAAAAAAAGAAGAAGTTTATCTTGTGCCTGGCAACATGTAAATGCTCAAGAAGAACTTGCTGAATATTCCATTGTTCTGCCTATCAACTCTTTTCCAAATTTCTACTAGTAAAAGTATAGAAATCAGAGTAGAAAGGCACTACCAAACAAGCCCTACATAGCACCTATCACAGTATGATGTAACAGGAGATCTTCAATAATTCTTATTAAAATGAAATGCATGTAAAAATTTAATTATATGAAAAGCTACAGACACTTTCCTTATAACTGTTATGACCCTCCATATGATGGTTAAATAAACAAACCAATAAGGTCAAAACATACCCAAAGTCACATGTGTGACACAGCTGGGATTACAGAATTTACTGAGTTTACTATGTGAAAACTACTACTCTTGGCTAACACCTTTCAAATTCCAGGTTATGACTAATTGATTCATAAAAATCAATTCAATGGTTTCTGCAGCACTGTTTTGGGGTTTTTTTTAATAGAGTATCACGTGTAGTAAGGGTAATTTCCAGTTCTTGAAACTTTTCAGTTTTACACACACACGGACACATGCTGCTATGTCACAATGTACAGCGTATTTCTTACCCTAGATACTGTTCAAAGATGTAGAATTTCACAGGGCTTTCCTTTACATATAAGAATCCCTAAGATGTTAACCGCTACTAGCAGCTACTGAAATAAGCCTAAAAGGTGTTTAAGTGACTTTAAAATTTCTCTTGTAACAAATTTCTATTTTCTAAGGGTATTAATTGCTACTATGCTTTTTTTTCCTACTTAGCAGGCTGTAAAAAATTAACCTACTACTAAAAATGATTGGAAATATGTAATAATTTGAGGGAGAAACATCCAGATGCCTCAAATCAAACTATAGTCACGTACCCCATAAAAACATTTTGGTCCATGACTGATCACGTATCCGACAGTAGTCAGAGCAATAGGCTGTACCATACAGCCTAGGTGTGTAGTAGGCTATACCACGTAGGTCTGTGTAAGTACACAATCTGACATTTGCACAACAACGAAATTGCCTAATGATGTTTCTCAGAGTGCATCCCCACTGTTTAGCCACACATGACTGTATCTTGAATATTTCTAAATGATCAAATTCATTGTCCTCTTCAAAGATGATATCAATAAAGTAACTGAAACAAAGAAGTCTCCTCCACCCCCAACTTCCCTCTACAATACTCCAACCAGAACATACCCGTTCGTTTTCTTCCAGTAGTTGCTCAAGAGCAAGAGCCTTGTCCTTCATTGAAAGGCCCTCAAACTCTTTCTCTGGCAGCATCATAGAAATCTTCATATTAGTCTCCTGTAATGCTTGATATTCTGCTTCCTTTACCCTGGATGTTTCTACTATTTTTTCATTTTCCCCTTTTAGTTTACAAATGTCCAGTTCTAAAATTAATATTCTCTCCTTCAGGTTTGTTACTGCCTGCCTCAAAAATTCATTTTCATTCACTTTGTTAGTGAAACTTTCATTTGAAGACAGTAATTGATCACTTTTGGCTTTGATTAAGAGGTCTTTTTCTTTAAGTAACTTCTGTAAAACATCTTGTTCCTCCTTTAGCTGCTTAATTTCTGAATCAGCTTGTTCGTGTTCTCTTCCTTCTAGCTCTGAGGTGGCAGCACTCGAATCAGAGAATCTGTGATTATTTTCCTGCCTAGCATAGACCTGCAGTTGCTGTTGAAGGTACATAATATCCTGGGTGTAGGAAGCTGAAGAAATTCTAGCCTGAAGAGCTTCTATCTCCAAATCTTTCTGTTGGATAATCTGAGTTAGTTTACCAACCTCATCATTGGACAACTGATCGATCTGTTTAGTTAGAGATATATTCTTTTCATTTAGAAGTTTAACCTCTAGTTCTCGTTCTTTTATTTCTTTCACTAATTTTTCAGTTTCAGCTTTAGATAAATCATGCTTTTCACTTCCATTTTCTATATTAAAGCTCTGAACTCTTGTTTCTTGTAAAATATCAGGATTCTCTGTTTGAATGTCCTTCAGTTCTTCTTGCAGATGACTGTTCTCTTCTTTCATGGCTCCAAGACTTCTGTCCTTTTCCTCTATGGTCTGCCTTAAAATTTCATTTGGCATTAAGGCCTGAGAACATTTATCTAATTTCTCCTGCAGCTCTGAACACTTTTCTTTAAGTTTTTCAATGAAAAGTTCTTTTTCCTTTATAACATCTGTCAATTGCTTCTGCTCTTCTTCACTAGATGACATTTCCTTAGTTTGTTTATGATCGGTATCCATTTGCTCAATATTCTTTTTGAGTTCAACTATTTCAAAGTCCTTCTCTTGACTGAGTTTAGTTGAAGACTCACGTTCCAGCTGTAAGGCAGCGGTGCTCAAGTTACATGCATTCGATAGTTCTTCAATGTTTTGCTCATACTTGCTTGCTTCTTCCAACAGCCTCTCTTTAGCCTGACACAATTCTGCTTCTAGCTGTCCTTTTTCCACCTCTAGTGTCTCGACAAGAGTGTTTTTTTCCAGAGAAATCTGACTGTTCCCAGCTACAGATTCTTCCAACTGATGCCTTACATCTTCACATGTTAAAACCAACTTTTCATTTTCCATTTTCAGATCCAAAGCAACTTTCTTTAAATTTTCATTGAGCTGTTCTATTTCTGAAAGATTTTGCTTTAAGTGTCTAACTTCTGCTTCCCTTTCTTTAAGTAGGTTATCCTTAAAAGTACTATTAGAGTCTTGATGAAGAGACTGAGTTAACTCATTCCAGACCCTAGAAAGCTCTTCCTCATTTTGTCTAATATGTTCCTTAAGTTCAAGGTTCTCCTTCTGGATGTTTGAATTATTTTTTTGTGAGTTAATTAGCTGATCTACTAAATCTTCTGCTTTATCCTCAAGCTCCTCCTTGATTAAATGCAAATCATTCAGGACCAGTTCACTTTGAATTAACTGTTCTTTCTGTCTGTTTAACTCTTTAGTAAGGTTCATTTTATCATCCTCAAGTTGATGAACTATCTTTTCTTCATCATCTAGACCTTGTTTCAGTTTACTGATAATGCTATCTCCTTCATTTTGTTGTTTTGATAGCTGATCTTTTATCAAAATAATGGGCTGAAAGAAAAATTAATTTGCATGGTAACATTACAAAATGTTCTTATTGTGGTACATAAAAAAATTTCACAAAATTTCATACATAATACAATTATCCTCAGATATTTCTAATCTTTGTAAAAAACAACCTTTTTCCTATCCCGACATCCCCTACAAAGGTATTTACTAATATCTTACAGCAAGTCCATTTTACCGAAGAAGGGAAACAATACATGTTCTTTATTTTCAACTCTTAAACACTAGAGCAGGAGTCAACAAACTACATCTTAGAGGCCAAATCAGGCCTGCACCTTTTTCCATAAATAAAATCGTATTGAAACATGGCCACGCTCTTCCACGACAGCAGAGTTGAGTAGTTGCAAATGAGACTACATGGTCTGTAAAGCCAAAAGTACTTTAGTATTTGGCAATTCCTATGAGTAGAGCATCAGTTACTACAAAAATATTAATTAAATCACAAAATTAAATTATGCGCATCATTTTTACATGGTAACCCAGTGTTCAGTCTACTGAGTAGAATGTGCTACCTCACTGTCTTTAATATAACATTACCTTTGTAGCTTCTTGGTTCTGTTTGTCTAATTCTACTAACTTGGATAGCAGTATTTCGTTTTCATTAATACTCTGATTGAGTTCTTGTTCCTTTGACTCCAAACTAAGTCTTAAGTCATGTACGTCTGAATCCAAACTCATATCTCTTGCAGCTGTACTTTTCATTACTTCATAGTCATTGCTCAGTTTTAAAAGTGATATCTGAAGTTCTTCCTTAAATGATAAAGGGGAAAAAAGCAACATAGACTGTGAACAGAAGAAGAGACACCAAAAGATGAAAAACATAGAAATAAACAAAACTTGGAATCTATCTTAAATTCTCTCTATCGGAAACATTACTAATACCTCAATAATGAAATATAAAATTCAACAATACTATTCAATTTGCAATTCTATTTGCAGCTTCAAATAAAACATTTCTATAACCCTAGACAAGATGCAACAAGTGTGTTCGTCTTGTAGCTTCAGCTTCTTTACACACAACCTTCCTCATCTGAGTCTTTCCTATCCTACTTCCACCATTGCTTCCCTTTATCTGCTCTTCTCCCTCCACATACATATTTGCAAAATGTCCAAGTCTTCCAGCTCTCTTCATTTCTATTCCCTAACATAGTCATCAGCACCCACAGACTAAATAAAAATGTACAATGTCCACACTCATTCACTCTAAAGTTTATCCTCTCTAATTAGAAAATAAAAGCCTTCTTTTCTCTCATTAAAGGAATCCCCTTTATTGCTTGCTTCTGTCAGGAACTGGAACCTTTTCTTGATCCAAAAAAGTGCCCTCCTTCCTTCTTTACCTTCTAACTTGAGCACAGACAAGGTTCCCCTATCTCAAACCTGACATAAAGATGTATCTATATATACATTTTATGGTCCATTATTAGCTATTTAATGCTTTTCTCCAAAACCCCAGAAGTGGTACAGTTCTCTATGTTTCAACATTATTTCAACCTCTGATTACAAGGTTTGTTGATAAACTATAAATTGCTATAAAGCCTTCTCTCATAGACAGAGTTTTGTTTTTTTTTTGACTAGTAAAGGGATTGCAACCCCTGGCATGGTGGGGTCCACACCACACTCAGCCAGTGTGTGCAC